AAAATTAATTATTTTTTACCAACCGGACCAATGGTCTAATTGGTTGGCCCCCAAGCTTTAGGGTTTGGATGAGGCGGAGGTCAGGGCTTCGAGCTCTGCCACCGCCGTGAACTCCACCAACTTGCGACCTAATGATCGCGCGCCTCAAATGAGGAGGTGGAACGTTCATTTTCCTGAAAAAATTCCAACTACTAACAAACTAACTCTACTAATTTCCTAACCATCTATTTGATAAAAAAAAAATTATTTTAAAAAGATATCAAATTATTAAAAAATGAGATAAAAAAATTATATAAAAATCATTTCCCTAACTTTTTATGGTTTTGAGGAGTGAAAAAAGAGATCAGTTGGCTAAAGCCACTCCCCAGACACGGATCCTAGCCTTGACCCTGACCCTGACCCAAACCCCAATCCTCTCTCTAGCCGTGTGAGTGGCACCCACGCCACAGCCGCAGCCATAGTCACAACTTAGCCCCACCTGGGTTCCTTAAAAGGTTATTATAAATTGAGGTAAATAATGTCGGTGTGTTTCTAATGGCAAGGTTTCTTACAAATGTCAAACCTATGACGATTGCTCCTTCATAAATATTATTATAACCAAAATTTTTTTTTTCTTGTTTTCTTAGTCAAATTACATTATATTGAAAAATAAAGTTAAATGAGAATGATAGGGATGGTCTTTAATATTATAAAATATTATTTAATAATAAATATAATTTAGATTATATAATATTACTTTTATAATTAAGTTTCTTTGTTACTTATTATTCGTTATCACAATTTAAGGAATTTATTACAATTTAAGGAGTTTAGACTATGGTTTGTCACAACAAACCAACAAAAAATAAGAAAAAATTATCCAAATTTCGTTAATGGTGGTTTTGGTTGTGCCATTTGTTATTTATTTGCAAATAGATTCTAACTTTTATTTAGTTAAATTTTTATCAAATTAATAATAGTAATATTTGATTTTGACATATTAAATATTGGTATAGTTATTATCACTTAAAAATGATAAGATTATTAATTTTTTAATTTTTTAAATAGTATCTAAAAATATTAATTTAATA